GTTCCATCATGGACGGCACTTGTTTTATACGCAGCCATAAAGTCGCATTTCATACCCTCGAGATCTCTCTGCATCACAAAGACTAGATTGAAAGTTTAATTATAAAAGTGGTCTGAAGTGGTTTTTGCTGAGGGCCTCTTAACGTTGAGGCCTTGATGTGTCCTCAGTAAAACTTATGTAAGTGCCTCAGCGGATTTCGCCACGTTCTTAACAACGGAATATGAATACTGTAACAGCCCATCCCGGCTCCACTGGTGGTATTTACTCAGCATACTGGTAGAGAGATAAGAAGAGAAAAGAAGCCCGGGCCCGTTTAGGTGGGGTTCTGAACTGTCCATCTGGTCATTTCACATCTTGCTACGTCAGTGTTTCCTTTCAGATCAGAGCCAAATGCGTATTTTTTGTTCATGCTTTCTCTCACACGTGACTGCAGTTTCATTGAACTCCCACATTCTTTGTAAGGCTGTTAAGAAGAAGAAGGAGGAGACTTGGCTTGACTAGGACAGGTTCCAGTTAGTCAAGGCTCAAACCATTCCTGAATCTTAAATGGCTCTTTATTCAAAATATAGTGCACTATGTTGGTGTAGACAACTATGGCTAAATCCCAAATGATTTTTTTATGGCTACATAGTGGACTTTTTGGGTGTCGATGACTATGGCTGAATCCCAAATGACTCTTTATTGGATATATAGTGCACTATTTGGGTGTATATGACTATGGCTGAATCCCAAATGACTTTACTGGATATATAGTGCACTACTTCGGTGTATATGACTATGGCTGCATCCCAAATGACTTTATTGGACATATAGTGCACTATTTGGGTGTATATGACTATGGCTGAATCCCAAATGTCTCTTTGTTGGCTACATAGTGGACTTTTTGGGTATAGAAGACAATTAATGAATCCTAAATAGCTCTTAATTTGATATATAGTGCATTATTTTGGTGTAGGTGACTATGGCTGAATCCCAAATGGTTCTTTTTTGGATATATAGTGCACTATTTGGGTGTAGACTTCACAGGCTGAATCCTAAACGGCTCTTTATTGGATGGATAGTGGACGTTTTGGGTATAGAAGACTATGACTGAATCCTAAACGGCTCTTTATTGGGTATATGATGTACTTTTTGGGTGTTGAAGACTATGACTGAATCCTGAATGGCTTTTTTATTACATCCATCGTGCACTAGACTTCACAGGCTGAATCCCAAATGGTTCTTTATTGGATAGATAGTGTACGTTTTGAGTATAGAAGACTATGAATGAATCCTAAACGGCTCTTTATTTGATATAATGTGTACTTTTTGGGTGTTCAAGCCTATGGGTGAATCCTGAATGGCTCTGTATTGGATATATTATGTACTTTTTGGGTGTTGAAGACTATGACTGAATCCTGAATGGCTTTTTTATTACATCCATAGTGCACTAGACTTCACAGGCTGAATCCCAAATGGCTGGATACATACTGCACTATTAGAGTGTAGGCTGCAAAGGCTGAAACCCAAATAGCTCTTTATTGGATATATAGTGCACTATTTGTAGAAATAGCTCTTTATTGCATATTTTATTGGACACTGCAACACTCGCACGCCTACCACATTTTTGGGCATGTCACTGTCATAACCGTGCATATTTGCACTTTTCTTCCCACTAGAGCACATTTTAGATTATTAGCGATACTGATGGCTCACAGCTGAGCGCTGCTGATGTATCAGTGTGGCCTTTTATGCTGGATGTGTGCAGGAAGGGGAAATGAACACAAAGTAGTGCAGTTATGTATTCCAGAACAAGGCCCAGAGAAGTCGCTATAATGAGCATGATACCACAAACTAGCCAACTTTAGCAACATTATAGCGAAATTAACTACATTGTTGATGCTTTTTCACAGTACTGAACTTTGTGTTCTTTACCAGGGTCAGCTCACTGGCCTTTGGGAATTAGCATAGCTCACCATTAGGGGAAACAGTGGAAAAGCTAATCCTGTGTTTACATGTTGGCAATTAAAATAGTGTGTTTCTGTTTGTTTTTGTGTGGCTAACAGTAGCATGCAGGCGTGTAAAGCTTTTTCAGTCTCTTTTATTTATTTAAGGTGGAAAAAAGTCATTTGGAGCCACTTTTGGTCTTGACCACTTTACATTTTGTGACATTTTTTTATCATAATCAAAGCTGTTTGTGAGAATCTTGGCTTAGCTACGGCCCTGGCTGTGGCTCATCACTTCTGCTATAAAACAGTTTGCTTATGTCCAGTTTGTGCTGTTGATATTTTATATTCAGTAACAAAGTGTGTAAGAAGGCTGGGCAAAGTTCAACCTAGTTAGGCCACTGCAGGGGTCGCAACAGGCGGCTCTGGAGCTGCATGTGGCTCTTTTACTGCCCTGTTGTGGCTCCACAGCAGAATTCGATTTTTAGGTAACGCTGGAGTTAATGTAGAACTGCTATTTCACCCTTTAACCCTGAAGGTTGGGGTGCAGACTGCTGGTCACCATAGCAATGCAGACAACAGTCTTGCCTAGCCAGTAGCTAACAAAAAGGTAAAGAGAGAGATTTAAGATGAACATCGATAATTTGGAGACGAATGGACTTCTTTGTGTTTATAATCATTCCAGCTGGTTTCCTGATACGTTTAATCTGCAGCGAGAAACTGACAAACACTAAAAAGTCATGAAGCTGAAGTCGCTCCTCATTCACCAGCTTCTTGTTTGAATTTTCCCATTCCACCTTAAATGGTGCAGCAGCTACATTCTGGCGTCTCAGACACCATTTAAGGTGGAACGGGAAAATTCAAACAAGAAGCTGGCGAATGAGAAACGACTTCAGTTTAACGTTGAGAGACATTTTACAAAAAACTGTTCTACTTCTGTGGAAAAATTTCCTGCTGGAGATGTGAGAAAAGCAGCTATAGCTGAGCTAAAGCTTAAAGCAGAGCAAAGTGAGTCTGTGTTTTTGTTTATATTACATTTTGAGCCTGTACTAGTACATCAGCTCATACTGAGACATATTTAGCCAAGATGGTAAAAAGGACATAAAATGTTGTGGCTCCCAAAGTGGTTAGATTTTTGTTAAAAGGACAAATTGGCTCTGATTGACATTTGTGTTGCGACCCCTAATGCAAAGGCCTATTTGTTTCAAAAGTCGACAAATATTCAAAGTCTACACGCTTCCAGTGGAATGGCAGTGGAAAATAAGCCACTGCAGCAGCCCGACCTTCGGTACGTAGCGCAATAAGGAGCCAGCCCATCTGTTTGACTAAGGCCTGTAGGCTTGTAGGCTGAGTGCCGGGGCTGCTGGCTAAGCCGAGAGCCCAGGCCCGTGAGGCCTGAGTGCGCGGGCCCTGCCTGAGGCTTTGGCGCATTCATAGCCAAATCCTCCTCTGAATGGAGCCTCAGACGTGAGCTCAGAGCTGCTGCTGCCATGGCATTACCTCATCGATTCTGCGGCAGAACAATGCACTCCGCAGCCGAACGCTTCGCCGTGGCGGTCAGCTCAGCAGCACTGGGGAATCCTCCAATGTTCCGAGGCAGTATATGCGCTGGAGGACTTCACACATTAGCCAAGATGGTGAATCATTCCTCCTGTTTATGTGTTTGTGTGACTGTCACTTCACTCTCACTGCAATTAGGCCTCAGGCCAACGGGTGCAGCAGCAAGGGAATTCGCTTACCTCTGTTCGAGCAGAGGAAGACGGTTCAAACTTGGAGAGCTAGAAGTACCTTCATCTAGTGTTTTTTAATCTTCTCAGAGCAAAAACAGTTGTCTTTGCAGCATATGGAAGCAATCAGAGGGTCAAGAGGTCCAGACATGGCATGACCCCGGTCTGAAAAGAACCAGTGTCTTAGGGGGCAGGCTGTTTACAAACACTTCATCCAATAATTATTGTGCAGCTCGCAGACGCTAAGCTAAGCTGTGAGGATAATTAAGCTCGGTCTAGACCCTTAAAGGAGCACTCCTACCAAAATGAAAAGATATAACCATCACTACATCTGCACTGCAAAAAATGGGATCTTGTCAAGTGAAATGATCTTAAATCTAGTTGATGTATCTAATATTTCCCATTTTGAGAAGGTTGTGCACTTATTATAAGATTATCCAGTGTATGTCTAGATATTATTTACTTGTTTTAGGTCACTTTATTAAGTAAAATGATCTCACTGTACTGGCAGATAATTTTGCTGGTTTCAAGCTCATTTCTTACAACAAGCAAAATGATCTGCCAGTATAGTGAGATCATTTTACTCAATAAAAATGACTTAAAACAAGTAAAACATGTCTAGAAATAAGGTAAACAATCTTAAATTAGGCTTATAACAATCTCAACAGGGAAATATTAGATTTATTGACTATTTTTAAGATAATTTTACTTGACAAGATGCCATTTTTTGCAGTGTGGTGTAAACATGCCTAGTCCCATCTTACAGCTGTGTTGCGGTGGTGAGAATTTCTGGTTTAAAAACTAGAAAAAATGCGTCTCGAAGGTTTGAGGAACTTTTGAACTACTTTGCTGTTGATTTTATTGAATTTTACTTGGTTAGCTGGCAAATGCAGATAGCTAACTGTATAACTGTAGTAACTGTGAGGACAAGGCTAAAAGCTGAAGTTAGTGAAGTAACTGGCTGTCTAGATCTCTGACCTTGGTTTTGCTCCATTTCTCTGACTGAAAGGGTCAGGGATGAAAAAACTCATCTCTGGTGTTCATTTTGTTCTAAATAAAGATAGAATTACAACTTTCGTCAATGTATTATGTACTAATGTAATAATAAAACTATGTATGATTAACTTTTCGGCCGGTGGCTGGACTAGCAGTCATGATTGGGTGACACCACAGGGATTCCCAATGGTTATCTGTTGTATTCACGGTATAATACAGTATAAAAAGCAGCATAAAATTGTATTATTTAGTATTAAACTAATTTTAAAAAAATTTTAGGCTGGGATGCCCCTTCAAAGCATCTAGCGTCTCTGAATAATGACCTGTATTCCTGATGTTCATCTCTTCTTAGGTTCAACCTCTTCACCTGCCCTCCTGCTCCAGTGTCAGCCATGTTGGTTATCTTGGCCTTCATCATCCTCTTCCACATCATTTCAGCGATACTGCTCTTCATAGCAACTACCAACAATGTGAGTTCAGTTCTGTGGCTCCACATTACGGACTTTACTTTTAACCCAAAGTTTAAAAACATGTTATTTATGGTCTTTAATAAGAATAAACGAAGCGGTGGTTGACATGCTGTATAAAAGTCCTGTGAAAATGTCTAAGCAATAGGAAATCAGTATGTTTTTGTCAGTAAAAACACTATATTACGGTACAATAAATACAAAAACATAAATACAGTGAAAAATTACTGTTTTTTTGTCAAAAACATAACTGATATCTTATGAGCTGTTTGGATTTCTCTGTGCTCTCCAGGCAAGGCATAAAATTCTGTTCTATTCAAGTTGATTTGTATAGTGCATTTTACAACAGGCATTGTTACAAAGCAGTTTCCAGCTCCGAGCCCCAGGCGAGCGCTTATTGTATTAATATTATTTGTATTTATTCTAATGTAAGTCTTTTTCTGAGCATATAAATGCTCCCTGACCAGATAAATAGATTCTTAAATGTGCTTTTCTAGGGTGCCTAAAATTTTCAAGTGTGCGTGAGAAATAAAAGGGGATGAATAAACTAGGAAAGTGAAAGCTTATTCAAAAATATGATGAAATGTGGGGCTGGATCAAAAATTAAAAATGAATTAACTGGAATTCCCCATTATTATTAGCTTTAATAGCTAATTCAGGGAGATCGGTCCCCATGGACCCTCACAGAGCAGGTACTGTTTGGGTGGTGGATCATTCTCAGCACTGCGGTAACACTGACGTGGTGGTGGTGTGTTAGTGTGTGTTGTGCTGGTGCGAGTGGATCAGACACAGCAGTGCTGCTGGAGTTTTTAAACACTGTGTCCACTCACTGTCCACTCTATTAGACACTCCTACCTTGTCGGTCCACCTTGTAGATGTAAAGGCAGAGACGATAGCTCATCTGCTGCTGCACAGTTTGTGTTGGTCATCCTCTAGTCCTTCATCAGTGGTCACAGGACGCTGCCCACAGGACGCTGTTGGCTGGATATTTTTGGTTGGTGGACTATTCTCAGTCCAGCAGTGACACTGAGGTGTTTAAAAACTCCAGCAGCACTGCTGTGTCTGATCCACTCAGACCAGCACAACACACACTAACACACCACCACCATGTCAGTGTTACTGCAGTGCTGAGAATGATCCACCACCCAAATAGTACCTGCTCTGTGAGGGTCCATGGGGGTCCTGACCACTGAAGAACAGGGTAAAAGGGGGCTAACAAAGTATGCAGAGAAACAGATGGACTACAGTCTGTAACTGTAGAACTACAAAGTGCACCTATATAGTAAGTGGAGCTGATAAAATGGACGATGAGTGTAGAAACAAGGAGGTGGTCAGAATGTTATGCCTGATCAGTGTATGTAAGTATCAGATAGTTCCCGTTATTGATGATTCTCTGTTGATTCCAGGCTTGGTGGGTTGCAAGTAAAGGAAACTTCTACACTGACCTGTGGTACAGCTGTAACGTCACCTGTGTGGATATACCCAGCAGTTCATCCACAGATGCAGGTAAACTTTCATTTTTATTACAATTTAATATTTTCTCATTATTATATAACCTCCAGTTTCTTTACTGGGAACTCCAACTTTGTACGTCCACTTACTGGCTACTTTCACTGGCTTACACTCTTAAAAAAGTTGGTTCCTCAAGAGTTCTTTTACATAGAACCATTTTTTTGCTAAAGCATGAACACTCAAAGAACCTTGTGCATGATTGAATGGCTTATATCATGAAAGCGTTCTTCAGATTGATGGATAATATGCTGATTATGGTTCTATATAGAACCTTTATGAAAACTGTTTCTTATTGTTACAGTGTCAAGCTTGTAACAATATAAGAACCCTTTTCAAAAGGTTCTGTGTAAAACCATCTATAGCACATACATACATGCTTCTTTGCATGGTGAAATGGTTCTTCAGATTGGTGGGGAATGTGTGGTATATGGTTCTATATAGAACCTTTTTGAAAAAAGGTCTTCTGTTGTTACAAGCTTGACACTGTAACAATAGCAGAAGCCTTTTCTCCATCAATCTGAAGAACCATTTCACCATGCATGGTTCTTTGATTGTTCATGGTTCTATACAGAACCGCTGTCTTTACTAAAGAACCCTTGAAGGACCATCTTTTTTTAAGCAGAGTACAGACTGTATTCTGTATGCAAGGGTACTCTTCTTAAAAAAAGATGGTTCTTCAAGGGTTCTTTAGTAAAGACAGCGGTTCTGTATGTACAAGGGACAAACCAAAAACCAACTTGGCTTCTTCTTTGACAGCTTCTTATTATTCTTTTTCCATTCCACCTTAAATGGCTCTGCTTTCACATTCTGATGCTGACGCACCATTAAGGTAACTGGGGCATCATTTAAGGTGGAACCAAAAAGTCCATTAAGAATCCAACTTTAGACTCATGAAAAGAGGAACAGGATAAAATCCAACCGCTCCGGATTAAAACCGCAGTTCCTTTTCAAAAACTGGAAACTGGAAATACCATTTCCAGTTTCCAGTGCCCAACACCATTCGCCAAACTAAATGGGCTGTAAGATGCTTTACAGACTGGCTGGAACAAAACAACATTAATACTGATCTGGCAAAAACTGACAAAACTGAGCTGAACTTGATATTGCGGCAGTTTTATGGCTCAGTCTGATTTGGTCAGACTCTGAAGATCAGACTACACGTTTGGCGAATGGTGTTGGGTTCATTTCTGGCTGATTCCAGGTTGTTTAGCTGTTCTTCTGTCACAGCTGCCGACTGAAAAGCTGCTCAGTGGTGACAGTTTGGGAATTTAGTGTAAGGAGCTGGAGAACGAACTGCCGGCTGTGCAGCGAGTGGGCGGAGCTCGTTACTCTGACGTAGCAACAAGCTGCTCGTTAAGGAACTATAATTTGGTGAAGGAACTGCGAACATTAAAACATATTAAACGCCGCGTTCACGGCCCAGTTTATTAATTTATTACTGTATTTATTTAACTGTTGTATTAAAACAATAGAACACTCGAGGAGTGTGTTATCGCCAATAACATCACGGCTGTGATGATCTACGGTGACCAAATCACAGCCGTGATGTTATTTGCGATACACACTCCCTCTCAGGTTCTACTGCTTAAGTATAATCTATGAATTTTCATTATAATAGTATAATCTGTAGATACTCATAGTTGGGTAAACTACATTTAGGATGCTAAATCTCTGCCATATCATCTGCTACACAAGGAAGGTGGAGCTAAACAAGAGGGGTTTCTAATAAAGTGGCCAGGTGTACACAAGCTTACATTACTTTCCAAAATAAGCAGACAAGGAAATGTTTGACTTCTACTAACAGTAACGCCCGTTTCTGTGATGAACAGGTTACCTTCAGGCTGTGCAGGCTACTTTGATCCTCGCCACCATCTTGTGCTGCGTAGGCTTCTTCGTCTTCATCCTTCAGCTCTTCCGTCTGAAGCAAGGAGAGAGATTTGTTTTCACGGCCATCATTCAGCTTCTGTCTTGTAAGTTTCAATGAGGATAATATCTTCATCTTTGGAAACAAATATTGGTAATAACAGCGACGTTAAAGTCCGTGTGAATGTATTTGTGCATTTCTGTATGACGCATTGTGAGTGAAACATGGTATCAGGGAGGGTCTCTGAGCCCCCTGAGCATTTTCATGATAGGTGGGGGAGGTGGGAGGTGCCTGCTGGTGCACGGTGATGTCATCAAAAATCAGAAAACATTTTACATGCAGGGCTAAAGTCACATTTTGATGGAAGATTATGGGAACACAAGAATTTAGTCTTTTAAGCTGCGTGATGTGTTGAATCGCGTTTGACTACGAACGCAAACTAACAAGGTAAACATGATTTTGGGGTGACTTTAATGAGGAAAGACTGGATCACTCTTCACATTATCAACTCTATTCAGTATTTTCTTGCTAATTTTACAAGTTGCTCTTGAACGCACATAACAAGTTCTCATACTGATGTTTCCTAAAGGCACAGTTTGTGGACACTTAATCATCAGACCTTTATGAGCTGGATGAACATTCCATTCTAAATCCATAGGCATTAATATGGAGTTGGTCCCCCTTTGCAGCTCTAACAGCTTCCACTCTTCTGGGAAGCTTCTACAGGATGTTGGAGAGTCTGTGGGAATTTGTGTTGATTCATCCAGAAGAGTATCTGTGAGGTCAGAGACTGATGTTGGACGAGAGGGTCTGGCTCACAATCTCCATTCTAGATCATCCCAAAGGTGTTCAGGAGGGTTGAGGTCAGGGCTCTGTGCAGGCCACTGGAGTTCCTCCACACCAAACTGGTCACTCCATGTCTTTATGGAGCTGCTTTGTGCTCAGGGTCTCAGTCACGCTGGAACAGGAAAGGCTCTTCCTCAAACTGCTGACACAAAGCTGGAAGCAGATAACTGTGTAAAATGTCTTTGTGCTGCAGCATCAGCATCACCCTTCACTGGAACTGAGGGGCCCAAACCCTGAACAACAGCCCAGCCCATCATCCCTCCTCCACCAAACTGTACTGTTGTGCATTCCAGTAGGTAACGTTCTCCTGATATCCACCAAACCCAGATTCATCATCAGACTGACAGACAGTGAAGCTGGTTCATCACTCCAGAGAACACGTTTCCACTGCTCCAGAGTCCAGTGGTGGCGCTTTACACCCCTCCAGCCGACGCTTGGCTTTGCACATAGTGATCTTAGGCTTGTGTGCAGCTGCTCAGCCATGATAACCCATTTCATTAAGTTTCTGATACACAGTTCTTGTGCTGATGTCGCTTCCAGAGGCAGATTGGAACTCTATGTTGAGTGATGCTACAGAGGATAGGCCGTTATACACACATCAGCACTCGGCGGCTCCACTCTGTGAGTGTTTGTGGTCTACCGTGTCGTGGCTGAGCTGTTGTTGCTCCTAGACTCTTCCATTTCACAATAATAGCACTTACAGTTGTCTGGGGCAGATCGAGCAGGGCAGAAATTTCACAAACTGACTTGTGGTAAAGGTGGCATCCTATGACAGCGCCACGTTTAAAGCCACTGAGCTCATCACTGCGACACATTCTACTATGGAGATTGCAAGACTGCGTGCTTGATGTTATACACCTGTTAGTAATGGGTGTGGCTAAAACACCTGAACTCAATAATTAGGAGGGGTGTCCACATACTTTTGGCGATATAGTATATATTATACACTGTACTAGCGCAGTATTATTTGTAGTTATCACCTAATACCTACTTTATCTATTCAGTACTTTATTAATTAAATCAGCTGCTGGTGTTAGAAATTAATGAATCTATGTGAACCAAACTTTGTTCATCAAACCAGTTCAAAAGATATACAGTACTTAGAAAAAAACATTTTACCACATGATATATGGTTTTAGACAGTTTGCTCAGGTGGCACACTATTCTGTATTCAATCCAAACTGTGTTTATGCAATTACAGTAATATTGGCCTCTACATAAGAACCTCAGCTATTTCCAGCAATGTTTTGTGAGCATTCTGACAAAATCCAGACTCAGATCTTCCGTCTCTCAGTTATGCTCAAAACATATACTTTGGGTTTTTTTTAAATGGTAATTTTCTACATTTTAGAATAACTCTGAAAACAAAAACTATGAAATCACACACACGCAATCATGCATACAAAAAAGGTGTTAATTAAATCAAAAAGCACGTTGTAATCTTGTATAAATGTTCTATTTTAGTTTCTTGAGTAGCTGTTCTTTGTCTTGACGCTGCTTCACACTTGTTCTCTCAAGCAGCTTTATGAGGAGCCAACATTAGTGAGAAACACACATCCGCTAAGACCTGGTTCAGTGATGAAAATGAAGTTAGAGACCATTTATTAATTACATTTCCAATCATAACAGCCTTTAAGTACAGATTATTAATTTTAACAAGAGATATTTCTGAGGAGATCAGATATAAGATAATCCACTTACATAAGGAAAGAATGAAGTCAAAGGAAAATAAGAGAAAGTTTTCAAAACTGGAGCTCAAAAACAGATTAAAAACTAGAGAAATGAGAAATATCATCATAACCAAGGCAGCCAGGTACCACATCAGTATGTCTGAAATTATAGTGGAACATGTTGATTTTGTAACCGGGATCATTTACAGCGACTGTCTACGACTTATATAGCAAAAAAAGACATCTCATAATATTAACTGAATATTTTAGATTATAATTCATTGCTTCATTACAAATTTGTAACGTCAGGTCTGACCTCATCTGCCCTCCGTATCTCTGTGCAGCCCTGTGCGTGATGATCGGCGCGTCCATCTACACGGCGGAGCGGACGAGCTTCCAGGCGAAGGAGGTGCAGAGCGGCGAGTACGGCTACGCCTTCGTGGTGGCCTGGGTGGCCTTCCCCATGACCCTCGTCAGCGGCTTGATGTATCTAGTGCTGAGGAAACGCAAGTAGGCGACGCTCGACAACAGCCCACCTCACCAGCTGCCACCAGCTACAGCCTTAGCCAAAAGAATTTATTTTGTAAATATACTTTTTTTTTTTTAAATGTGTAGTTCCATGCCAAAATGTTATATTGTGAAAAAAAACAAAACAAAATAAAATAAAAATAAATCTCAATATTAACCGTAGCATACTGGAAACTAACTTTAGTTTTTCTTTTTTTCAAAGTGATGTACTATGTAGAGTTTTAACCCTCTTCTTGTTCTAAGCATTGAAATTGTGCTGTGCTGTTGGGAAAATGACAGACTTGAAAATAAAAGGCAGAATGACATCCGAAATACGAATATGTTCACATAAAACCACTATTTAGGCTTCACAGAAAACAGAGGGGACATTTAACTGTCGGGAGACATTAATACGGCTTCGTAACACCTACATGAGCCCTTCATGACAACTGACATAAACCTACGTAAACATTTATAAAGGCTTATTTCAAGGTTACAACTGTTGACCTCTACGTCAGGCGACAGTAGCCATATTCATCAAAGCTGTGTATGGTAAAATATGATTATTAAAGCATATCGCCGCTGTCCAAAGGAAAACAAGTGTCCACAAATTTGTTTACAGGAGAGACCAAAAACACTCTTAGTTTTCAGTGAAAGTCAATGTAAAGAGGTTTTCTTCAAAGTGATTTTAGAGCATTTCTATTGGTCCATTCATTATAGAATTTTCACACTACGTAAAGGACAGCTGGGGTGTTATAAAAGCATCTTTGGTGCATCTGTAGATCAAACTCATGTCTGGCAGGAGTGCATGTAAATTTAAGCGTAATAGTCCAACTAACCCAAACTAGCATCAATATCATCAATAATACCAATAATAAGAATAAAAATGTAAAATAACAATACTGCTAATTTAGCAATCCAGTACTAAAGCAGATTTCTTATGCGTATTGTTATTAACAAATGCTGCAACTATTCCATGCTCCATTTAAAGACGCATTACACCGTGTTTCTGTTTTATACTGCAGACTCCACCCACAAAATCAACAACGCAAAAAAACACAGCTAAATCTTTATTTTCACTCGGAAATACATCGAGGGCGACCCTCATTTTCAGTGCAGCCGGCCACTTACGGCGCACATGGACTGAAAATAAAATAAAATGGAATTTAATCAGTCTAAACTAAAATGAACAATAAAATCAAACGAGATAAAAAGGAAAAAAAGAACAGTTAAGATTGAATTAATAAGGGGAACAATAAAATAAATAAAACCAAGATAAAGTAGTTAAAACTAACTAATAGACTTCAACATAAAGGGATAAACAAGGCAAACTGAAATTTGAAGCTATGAAATAAAAGTACTGTAAAGAATAATAAAATAAGAGTAATAGAATTAAGATCAAATAAAGAAATCGAGATATTAATCAGCCTCATAAAATGAAATAAAAAAAAATTATGGAGAAAAAATTAAACTCAGCTAAAAGAGTTACAGGCACTCTGGAGGTGGCTGAAGTTAAAATGACCACAATCGAGTTGAGTTTGAGAGACCGCTGTGGTGAACTCCAGCTCACTGGCGCTCTGCGGCTAAAAGATTTTCCCAGTTTCAGTGAAGACTCTCGGTACCTGACAGGTGATCCAGTCGAGTCAATACAGCGTTTAAATACAAATGAAATTTTAGGAAAATAATCAGAAGACACAATCACATCATTGTACCGTCTTAAAAACACAGGCGTTCTGTTTATTTCACATTTTATTATTTCCAGTGGTCGTAATCTTAACACTATAAAGTGTGGTCAGTCGGAGGAACAGTGCCCTGACCACTCCACCACAAGCGCAACCATTGGCTCACGAGCTGCTGAATTATTTTGTCTTATAGGCTCCCTACTGAATCATTTTACATGAATCATGTTTGATGTAAATTATATGTATATGAGGGCGTCTAATGCAAATGATATGTAAATAAGTTACTTGTGCGTGGGCACTTGTTTTCACGCACAGAAGCTCTAATTTACTCTAATACTCTAATTTCTCTGCAGGTCGTACGCCATTCAGTGCCGTTTGTGCCCGTTTCTATGCAGCTTTTATGAATAAGAGCCACTGATTTTTCGTTTTGCTCTGTAGCCCAGAATCTGCTACAGCTCGTCAATCACAGGCTGTTAAACAGTAAAGTGAGTTTCATTTGACCATTTATAAACGTCTGTGTCACTAATATGCACCAAGCAACAAAGTCAGCTGGTATAACGTAAACCTAAAAAACACACACAAAAACACAGAACACAGATCGGACAAAGGTGTTTTCAACTGGACAAAAGTTGACAAAAGCAGCCTTTAGGACAGACACCTGTTGGAATAAGTGTTTATAAAGTAAAATTCTGATTGGCTACTTATGTACCGGCCACTCATCATCTCCAAGCATGTCATCGATCGATATGTAAAGCAAACCTGACATTTTGGCACTCTGATTGATTAATATGACACTCATCTGAATCTCTTTTCCTCACCAGCACATAATGGCCATCATATACAAATATAGTATTTTACTTTAGAAACATTTTATACAATTGAAAGGTTTCAAAACTGCTGCTAGTTGAAAGGTTTCAAAACTGCTGCTAGGGTTGGATAACATTAACTTCGCTAAAGTTCCTTTAATTCGCTGCCTTAATATTGATAAATGGAACCTTGTGGAACAGGAAGGTACCGAAACGTGAAAAGGCAGCAAAATTTCATGAGCAGTGAAGCTTTTTTTTGCACGGCTCCTTAGCATCGTATCCAAGGCAGCCAGATACCACATCAATTTGTCTGAAATTATAGTGGAACATGTTAACTTTTAACGCAACCATCTACAACATACAAGCGAGTGGCAATCATCGGGGTCCAAGCACCACATGCTATATAGATCCAATATAGGCATTTTAGCACACAACACAAATGATGGCCGTTTTGAAAGGTCTCCACTTGTAGTAATTTGTATTATTTGACCTTTCTATGTTAAGCAATAAGTTTTTTTTAACAAGTAAGTCTGACATGCACAGTTGTTGAACCTAACGAACTGAATTATTCCACAGCAATTACTTCTTTCCCAGTATTTTATTCTCAGAATGCACCAGAATACTTCGTTTTCATATTAAAATAACATTTTCTCTAAAGGACGACGCCCGGTGTCTGAAATAATCTATGAAATGAGCTCTATCAGCAGTGAGGTTGAGGCTGTGTAAACTGTTCTCTTTATAAGAAATGTGTTTATCGATATTATGAGACCGTTACTTTGATTTTGAAGGCATTTATCTGGCCCCTAAACAGGGACTGTGGCCCCATTATGGCCCCTCCAAAAATCCTCTCTTATAAAAGTTTATGTTGGTTGTCATGACAAGCTTATGCAGGTGTCATAAAGCCTTACGTAGCCCGCAGTAAAGCGTTACCAAAATATATATAAGACAGAGCCAAAACTGGCTTGGTAATACTTGACTATGCAGATCACTGCATTCGGACCATTCCTAAGAAGTCAGACATAAAATGTAGGATTTAAAGTAAAAAAAAGGTAGAAAAGTCAGATTAAAATATGCTGCCAATTTGCTGAGCACTACACCATACTTGAAGCTGAACAAAACATGGCAGGATGTGTTTATTATGCCTTTAAAAGCTTGTATACGGTTTTTGTTTTCCTTAGTTATTCTGCATGTTTTATTTTACCTGCATTTAGCGTACCATCAATATTAAAACAAACACCAATTGTAGTTCATTAGGCATTGGAATAAAGGCTTCAGTGGGATTTTACGTTTGAAAATGCTGAAAGAGGCTACAAAGTCTGGTCACACCGTTTCCTCTTGGTATTTAATTCTGTGACGCCTGAGGAGGCATAACAGGTTATCTGGAAGAATTAAATTGAGCTGTATTTATTATGTAGACTGTTAATATTTTTTGTAATGAAGTATTATTCCAACAAGCTTGAATCTGTTCCTTTCAGCCCCCCCTCCCCATATGAATCAATCTTGTTGGATATTACTGAAGGCTTTGAAATTGGAATGAAGCTACAATGGCAGCTTTTTGTTTGGAACTGTTTTTTGCTTGTCTGCTATGGTAAAGTCTGTTCAGTTGCTTTTGTTTCCAGTGACTGACCCCCAACCAAGGGCTCAATATTGTGTTTTTTGAAGTCAAATAAATGTATTTTACATTAAACGTCACCTCTGTTTGTGTTGCAGATCATTCCCTCACGCCTAAATCCTGTCCTCTCCGCTTCCAGGTCAAAGCTTCCGAGAACGCAACTATAGGATTCTGTATAAACTGTGGTTCGCTGGTCCAAATCTGAGAAGATAAATGAGGATTACATTTTATTGTAACAATATCAAACAATTCACCTGAGACTGTTGTACAAAACCGTTCCCTGATAATACTGTTGAGTAGTCTGCACTTTAAAAACCCTAGAGCTTAATAAGGCTTCAGACGTAACGATGCTGAAACTTTACCCCTAAATGCCTTTATTGAACGCGCTCTAATGCTTTATGTGGAGTTAAAAAGGTCACAATGTGTCCATATAACAGTGATCATGTTTTGTTGGCCACAACAGTCTGTATGTTACTGTACGGTCCATAGCGTCCGTAGATATCCTTCCCGATGATGACGAAGTGCAGCGCACTCCCTACCGACCGACCCGTGACCCTGCAGGCCATAGGCAGAGGCATCGCTTTGATAACTCCCATGGTTTTCCACTTGCAAAAAGTGCCATCGCTGTGTTCCTGGGTTACGTATATGTAATAGCAGTCCATGTCCGGAGCGTGGGGGTCCTCCTCCTCGACGTTCCACAGCAGGGCAATGCCTTGTGGGTTGTCGATGCGTGCCACCTTCACCACAGGCTTCTGGGGCAGGTTTTTGGTGGCAGCCGCCAAAGGCAGCTGACTGGGAAACGGAGTGTCCGGAAACGGAGGAAGCTTTGACAGCAGGCTAGCCTGTTGAATACACGTTATAAAATATAAAACCAGACATTTCTAGAAGCTTGTATACTGCATTCACCTTAAAGGGGCACTCCAACCAAAATCCTAACTACATGTGTCTACATGACCCTTTACAGCAGTGCTATACTGCTACCTTCCAGCACAGTATAGTTCAAACCTGCATCCAATCAGCTGCCCTGCCCCTTACTAAAAA